AAGGGCATGCATCGCTACTAGTAGCAAGGGCATGCATCGCTACTAGTAGCACGGGCATGCATCGCTACTAGTAGCACGGGCATCGCTACTAGTTACTAGTAGCAAGGGCATCGCTACTAGTAGGTTCTTGCTACACCTGTCAGGCGCATGAGAATGCCCGGCTGCCCATGTTGGCAAGGCCCGTGGCGAGGCGACACATGGGGACGCGAGCGACGCGACGCACCGCAACGGTGCAAATTCAGGTGTGCTCTCAACATGTCTAACATGAACATTTTATTGATTTTTTCAACACAACCGAAGCCAAGCAAGGAAGAAGAACTCGAGTGATTAATTGAGTGTCATGAAGTGTACAAAGGCTCACTGCAGCTATAAGACCCTGTGGTGGCCTCTAAGACCTGCTAAGAATCTGCTAAGACTGTGTAAAAAGACCACAGTTGGGAGAGACGAGTTTGCCAGGCATGTTGATCGAAGTGGGGGCACGACTGAAGCGACCCAGTCTCAGAGCGGATCGGTGTGGTGACGACGCCTTTCGCTGGGGGAACAAGGCACTTAGAGGCAGGAATTGAGACTGTTGCACGAGACACAACTGCTTGCTTTAAGGCCCCGCTTGCGCTTCACTGCCACCATGCAGCCAGTGCAGCCCTCCAGGGGACCACCCTCCAAATAGAGGACCAAACACATGGGGCAGCGACGGTCTGATCAGGTGATAAACTTTGTGCGACTCAGTTTTTACCGGACACAGTTGACATGGTGGAGTGAGAAATCCTTATTGAGGAGGACATACAGTGTGAGCACATTCGTAAGCAGATTACGCGTGGAGTAGTAAGCGGTGCCCTGGCTTATAACTTAACTGGGCAAACAAAGCGGCTAGAGTACAGTGATTCCTTACGACGGAGCCACGAGCACTTGAATTTGGCCTTGAAGTTTTGGGACAGTTTGGGAACATCTGAAAGTCGGCCTCTTTTTAGGGGGGGGGAGCTATTACCTTGCTTCTTAGGCTTTGCGGCTTGGACGCACATCGGCTCAGGCTCAGGCTTCTTCAAGGAAGCCCCTCACCTGAGGGCAGGGAGCTTCCTTGAAGAAGCCGGAGCCTTGATGATTCGGTTCCAAGATGTTTAGGGAAACTTGATTTCAACACGGTATTTGCAGTACATGTTAGTCCTGAAAATGACACACAGTGTCATGCCTTTGCTTCGCCAACCGTCATGAACCTACTGAATGAAGAAAGAAGAAGGACATTTGAAAGTTGAATCTGGAGTTCTTGAAGGCAAGCTAGAGGAGGAATTGTGTGTGAAAATATGTTTGTCACATGTCAAATTCAGTGGATTCAACTTCGGAATCTGGATCTGTATGAGTGGTAGCAGGGGTAGCCTTACAGTCATGACAGAAAGTGCTGAAGGAGTGCAACAAATCGAAGCCAAAAAGGAACCAGAAAGAGATGAAAC